ATGTTTATCTGCAACCCTCTCTCCTCTACAGCCATTCAAAGCGCATTATAGAGAGAGAGAGAAAGAAGAAAAAAAAGAGGGTGGCGAGCTGAAGTTACACTCTGCAGAGCTCAGCGAGGAAAGCTCTGAGAACTGATTGGAGGGAAGGGACACGCACCCCCTTGACACGGCACACAGAAACAGAGCTGAAGCTGTCATTCTGCTGGAGATACCTCCCCTGTCACCATTTTCTTCTTGGTGTCAGGAAAATTGGTCAGAAGTGATTCATACTGATAGCCGAGGATAGAAGCAGCAGACAGAAATGACACTTAGTGCTTTTAATTGAGACAAGGACACACTATACAGGGATATGCTTTGCTCATGTCTGAGGTTTACAACCACTATAACCAGGCTTGGGATGCATTTGTATGTATTGGTGAGCCATGGCAAAGAAAATGACATTCCTCCATCAGTTACCTCGGGCAGTCTGCATGCAAATCCAGCCTGCCTAGGACAGCCCGCTCTTCCAGACTGACACCCACCCATCACCCATTCTGATATTTGCAAAACTCCTCCCAAGAACCAGCCCACTACTTACATCAGGACAGAGGGCACTTGAGTACGGAGGTGCTATGATGTTTTCAGGAAGCTATGCACAGCACCCTGCTGGCCCCTCCTACCAGCCACTATCTGCCTGTATTGCATAGAGAAGCACAAGGACCCAGTGAAAAAAATTATGTAATAAATGTTTTTCTTTTTTTTTAGTTTTTTTGTTTTTTAAAATGTCACTGGGTATAAAATAACGTATGTACTGAAGACAAATTTTATTTTAGCATGTCATTAGCATGTTGATGAGGGGGAACCAGGGAAGGCAACATAAAAGCAGGCTAAAATTCAGCTTTCTTTTTATACACTGTGCAGATCCCACCTGCTGTGCAGAGGATGGCAATTAGTAGTATAAAGGCACATCCACATCTATAGAGGGATGGAATTGCATTGTGTGCTTTGGCTAGTTGTGTATCACAGCACACAAAGGCGGGAGGGTGTCACTGGAAGGAAATGGGAAACGTCCTCCCAAACAGGGGGCCCAGGAACACACTGGACTAAGTAAAAAAAAATAAAAACGCAATATATGTTTTACTGAGTTTTTTGCTTTGCATTAAGATCTCTAAGCCCAGCAAGCTTCATCTGAACTCTAATGCAGGCCATAGACGGGTCGAAAACCGTCCGTTTAAAAAAAAAAATAAAAAATCGATCGTTCAATAGGCCGACGTTACCACCAACGGTAAAAAAAAATCGGCCGATTTTCGTGCCGTCTACGGCCGGCATTTAATTACTTCTGTGCCTGCAGAGAGCCCCGCTATTATATTTGACATGAAAAAGTATTGTAGTTGCAACAATGTATCTATTTGTATCCATTTCGGATACAGATGTTTTTATTCGGATACAAATAGATACATTGTTGCAACCGCAAGACTTTTCATATAAAATATAATAGCGGACTGGAATTCTTCTGCTTCTTTTTTTCTTTTTTTTTTTTTTCTTTTTTTTTTCTTTCTTTTTTTTTTTTTTTTTTTTTTTTTCTTTCTTTCTTTTCTTTCTTTCTTTCTTTCTTTCTTCTTTCTTTTTCTTTCTTTCTTTCTTTTTCTTTCTTTCTTTCTTTCTTCTTCTTTTCTTTCTTTCTTTCCTTCTTTCCTTCTTTCCTTCTTTCCTTCTTTCCTTCTTTCCTTCTTTCTTTCTTCTTCTTCTTTTTTTCTTTCTTTCTCTCTTTCCTTCTTTCTTTCTTTCTTTTCTTTCTTTCTTTCTTTCTTCTTTCTTCTTTCTTTTCTTTCTTTCTTTCTTTCTTTCTTTCTTTCATTCCTTCTTCTTCTTTTTCTTTTCTTTCTTTCTTTCTTTCTTCTTTTTCTTTCTTTCTTTCTTTCTTTCTTCTTCTTTCTTTCTTCTATCTTCTTCTTCTTTCTTTCTTTCTTTCTTTCTTTCTTTTTTTTCTTTCTTTCTTTCTTTCTTTCTTTCTTTCTTTTTCTTTCTTTCTTTCTTCTTTCTTTCTTTCTTTCTTTCTTTCTTTCTTTCTTTCTTTTCTTTCTTTCTTTCTTTCTTTCTTTCTTTCTTTCTTTCTTTCTTTCTTTCTTTCTTTTCTTTCTTTCTTTCTTTTCTTTCTTTCTTTCTTTCTTTTTTTCTTTCTTTCTTTCTTTTCCTTCTTTCTTTCTTCTTCTTCTTCTTCTTTCTTTCTTCTTCTTCTTCCTTCTTTCTTTCTTCTTCTTCTTCCTTCTTTCTTTCTTCTTCTTCTTCTTTCCTTCTCTTACTTCCTTCTTCTTCTTCTTCCTTCTTTCTTTCTTCTTCTTCTTTCTCTTCTTTCTCCTCTTTCTTCTTCTTCACGGCTCATGCGCAGATTTTTTATCGGTAAAACGATCGGCCAATTTGTCCATCATTGCTGGGAAAATCGGCCGATCAGCAAATTTTTTTTTTTTTTTCTGCCGATTTTCGACCTGTCTGTGGCCTGCATAACTGGATGACATTTAGTTTGCTGAAGCGCTGGGGGTCATAAACAGTTGGGGCACAGCTGCTTGTAGTCTTCACTGGGGGAGCATGTGACAGGGTGACAACTCAGGAGCACAATCGGGAGACATGAGCAGAGCGTTGTCACCCCATAACAGGAAGTGCCTGACAAGGAACCTTCAGGCACTTCCTGTTGTGGGGTGACAATGCTTTGCTCATGTCTCCCGATTGTGCTCCTGAGTTGTCATGTACCTCGCACAATCGGACATGAACCGTTTTTCATAGCACGTGGAGTTGGTTGCAGAATGAACCTTTGACAGGTTCTCTTTTTCTTTTCTCCAGTCTATCCAATGTGCCGCCCGTCAGGATTAAGATTTGTTTTTCCTTCCCAGACAGCAGCGCAATGATCGGCCTGCTAAGTAAGATGTGAATAATTAGTTTTAAATCCTGCGTTGTCCATCTCTGTCCTCCCCCCTCGGTGTCGGGGAAGAGATTGATCTGTGGGTGGGGGGAGCAAGCTCTGATAAATCTTCTTTACAGCATTATTTGCATTCATTGATTAGGATTCAGGCCCATCCTTGGCTGGCGAGTCCTGCCGTGAATAATGGACACCCTGCCCCCCCCCCCCCCCCCCCCCCTTCGCTTTTAGAGGCTATTTACCTCCTGCTCAGATATCTCGTCTGCAGTCATCAGCCTCCCAATATTAATAGATTGATCACCCCGGCCTCGTCTGCAGTCATCAGCCTCCCAATATTAATGGATTGATCACCCCGGCCTTGTCTGCAGTCATCAGCCTCCCAATATTAATGGATTGATCACCCCGGCCTCGTCTGCAGTCATCAGCCTCCCAATATTAATAGATTGATCACCCCGGCCTCGTCTGCAGTCATCAGCCTCCCAATATTAATAGATTGATCACCTCGGCCTCACCTGCAGTCATCACCCTCCCAGTATTAATAAATTGATCACCCCAGCCTCGCCTGCAGTCATCAGCCTCCCAATATTAATAGATTGATCACCCCGGCCTTGTCTGCAGTCATCAGCCTCCCAATATTAATAAATTGATCATCCCAGCCTCGTCTGCAGTCATCAGCCTCCCAATATTAATAAATTGATCACCCCGGCCTTGTCTGCAGTCATCAGCCTCCCAATATTAATAAATTGATCACCCCGGCCTCGTATGCAGTCGTCAGCCTCCCGGTATTAATAAATTGATCACCCTGGCCTCGTCTGCAGTCATCAGCCTCCCAATATTAATAGATTAATTACCCCAGGCCTCCCAATATTAATAGATTGGTTACCCTGGCCTCGTTAGTGAGCTTGGATTTTCCACTTCCTTCACTCCCAATGTTCTGGGCTGTGAGTGCCGTTGTAGTCTACAACCTCACAAACACCCCCTTTCCTCTCTCTGATCTCAATCTCATCACCTTCACAGTCTCCTTGTCTTCAAACACCTATCCCTCCAAGCAGCAAACAATTACCCGCAGAAACCTTCACAACTTGAACCCGGCTCCTTTCCACTCTGCAACTGACCAACTCTATGACAGAATCTCTCCCCTGTCCTGCCCTGACCTGGCCACTGCTGTCTACAACAGTTCACTATATCCACACTAGACTCACTTGCTCCTCTAACAACATGAAGCATCAGGCCCCGCCCATTACAACCTTGGCAGACTGACCACACCAGAAATCTTAAACGACATAGTCGTGCGCTGGAGCGTTTGTGGCGTAAAACCAAATCTCACCAAGCATTCACCCGATATAAATCTGCTTTCTTAACATACAAATTCCTCCCTCCATGCTGCCAGACAAGCCTACTTTGTCACCCTTATTAATACCTTGTCATCCAGTCCTCGTCGTCTCTTCTCTACTTTTAACTCTCTACTTTCTCCACCTCCACCTCCACCCAGTACCTCACTCACTGCTTACAAAATTGCAAATCATTTCAAAAACAAGATTGATGCAATTCGTGGGGGCATCGCCACTGCACAGACATCCATCCCACTTAGCATACCTTATACTAAACCTCCCTCAACACTTTCCTCTTTTGACCTCGCTACTACCGAAGAGGTCACTAAGGTTTTCTCAGAAGCCCGTCTCACCACCTGCCCCCTGGATCCTGTCCCCTCACAACTTTTACGGTCACCCACTTCTTCCATCCTATGCTCCCTCACTCACATCTTCAATCTCTACCTCTCTACTGGTGCCTTCCCCTCCCCTCCCCTCTAAAGCATGCGCACATCACTCCCATACTTAAAAAGCCCTCCCTGGACCCCACCAACCTGAACAACTTAAGACCCATCTCCCTGTTGCCATTTACCTCTAAACTCCTAGAACACTTAGTCTACAATCGCCTGAGCTCCCACCTCACCGACAACAACCTTCTTGACCCTTTACAGTCTGGCTTTCACTCCCTACACTCCACTCAAACTGCCCTACTAAACCTCACTAATGATCTACTACCTGCTAAAACCAATGGCCACTACTGCGTACTCATCCCAACCAATGGCCACTACTGCGTACTTATCCCAACCAATGGCCACTACTGCGTACTTATCCCAACCAATGGCCACTACTCCGTACTCATCCCAACCAATGGCCACTACTCCGTACTCATCCCAACCAATGGCCACTACACCGTACTCATCACAACCAATGGCCACTACTCCGTACTCATCACAGCCAATGGCCACTACTCCCTACTCATCCCAGCCAATGGCCACTACTCCGTACTCATCCCAACCAATGGCCACTACTCCGTACTCATCCCAGCCAATGGCCAGTACTCTGTACTCATCCCAACCAATGGCCACTACTCCGTACTCATCCCAACCAATGGCACACTACTCCGTACTCATCCCAACCAATGGCCACTACTCCGTACTCATCCCAACCAATGGCCACTACTCCGTACTCATCCCAACCAATGGCCACTACTCCGTACTCATCCCAACCAATGGCCACTACTCCGTACTCATCCCAACCAATGGCCACTACTCCGTACTCATCCCAACCAATGGCCACTACTCCGTACTCATCCCAACCAATGGCCACTACTCCGTACTCATCCCAACCAATGGCCACTACTCCGTACTCATCCCAGCCATTGGCCACTACTCCGTACTATCCACTCATCCCAACCAATGGCCACTACTCCATACTCATTCCAACCAATGGTCACTACTCTTTACTCATCCCAATCAATGGCTTCTACTCCGTACTCTTACTACTTGACCTCTCTGTGGTTTTTGATACTGTTGACCATCCCCTCCTCCTCAAAAAACTCCACTCTCTCGGCCTCCGAGACTCTGAATCTCTCCTGGTTCTCCTCCTACCTATTGCAGTTCTCCTTCAGCGTTACCTATAACTCTGGCTCCTCCTCTCCACTCCCTCTTTGTGTAGGTGTCCCTCAAGGTTCTGTCCTTGGACCCCTACTCTTCTCCATCTACACCTCCTCCCTTGGTCACTTCATAAACTCTCATGGCTTTAAGTACCATCTCTATGCTGCTGACATACAAATCTATCTTTCTACCCCTCACCTCACCCCTTCAGTCTCCTCCTCACCTCATCCCTTCAGTCTCTCCTCCTCACCTCACCCCTTCAGTCTCCTCCTCACCTCACCCCTTCAGTCTCCTCCTCACCTCACCCCTTCAGTCTCCTCTCGCATTACTAACCTACTAAACGACTTATTGGCATGGATGTCACTCCACTTCCTCAAACTCAATCTTTCCAAAACTGAGCTCTTAATATTCCCTCCGGCACCTGCCCCCTCCCCTGACTTCTCCATCAAGATAAATAACACAACCATCAGTCCCTCCCCTTGTGCCAGGGTACTAGGTGTAATCTTAGACTCCCATCTTTCCTTTCAGCCCCAAATCCAAAACCAAAATATAGAGCCATTTATCCAACTGTCCATCCAGAGCCCCTGGTTTATAGACCGGATACATCCTAAATATAGAGCCATTTATCCAACTGTACACCCAGAGCCTCTGGTTTATAGACCGGATACATCCTAAATATAGAGCCATTTATCCAACTGTACAGCCAGAGCCTCTGGTTTATAGACCGGATACATCCTAAATATAGAACCATTTATCCACCTGTCCAATCAGAGCCTCTGGTTTATAGACCGGATACGTCCTAAATATAGAGCCATTTATCCAACTGTCCATCCAGAGCCTCTGGTTTATAGACCGGATACATCCTAAATATAGAGCCATTTATCCAACTGTCCATCCAGAGCCTCTGGTTTATAGACCGGATACATCCTAGAGCCATTATCTGGTCAATGTATGGAAATTTGGCAGTTCTTGATTGGGGTTTGGAGATTGACGACATGGGGCGACCAGACAGGTTATTGTAAGTTGGACTTCAAGGAACCAAATACCCTCCAGAAAGAGATTATTAGTAACTCTTTGGAATGATGTAATCCAGAATCTGCTTCTCCTTGCCCATATAGATGGTTTGCAGGATCAGATTCTGATCGGATATTTAGAATTCCATTTATCTCGGGGTCATAAAACATTCCCAGCTCGGCATGTCCTTGTCTGCAGGTTTCATTTCTCTCCCTTTGGATACTTCTCATCATAGGGAGCTGGATGATGACATCTTCCTCGGCAGTATGGTCGCCCCTGCTCATTGCTTACTCGGCACCTGTTTTTGGGTCGCCTCAAGTATCTGCGGACTGCAGGAACCGTGAGCTCTCCGGTGTTCATTAATCTCTATGTCGGGGTGAATCTGCAATAATCACTAGAAGTCACTCCGCTGCACATTACAGCAAAGATCTCTGCGTTTTGGAACCTGTTCTGCAGAGCTATAAAAATATGGCTGTACGTAGAAGCAATTGTCTGTCATGAAGGACCCTGCAGAGAGTAAAAGCAGAAGGCTCGGGTTCTCATGGCATAGCATACCGCCATGTCAAAGGCGTTGCTGCAAAGTGAGGACCTGTCCTAATCTAGAACCCAAACTGGGGGCTTGTATGGCAGGGACTAAACTGAGGACCGTCTTACCTGGAGGTAACTGGACCTTCAAAGGAACTTCACTCTGGAAGCTATGCCCTCCAGACAAAGGCAAGTATAGCAAAGGACTAGTCACTTGTGTTTCCTGCGGTCTCCTTGCAGCAGATCTTTCCTCTTACTGACCATGCCAATCATTTCCACTGTGTGTCTGTGTGGAGGCGGCCATTTTGGCAGAGGCAGAGCTTTACTTCTTCATGTCAGAGTCTCCAGCAAGGAGAACAGCAACATCACCAAATGTCAGTTCCGATCTGCTAAGACTAACAGTCAGAGGCAGCAGTGCCTTTGGTGATCTCACACTTCAGACATATATCTATAAGGCTACAGAACAGGAGTGCCTAGGCACACTCACATACCAGGAAATACTCTGCTATTTATCAAAAGGTCCATTTTTTAGAGCTTGACAAATCCCAGGGGCCAGGTCGCCATGGTGACTAGAAATTGAGTCCTGGCGACTGGGTTTACGCACTGCCTCCCATTGACTTCAATGGGATGTGGCACCCCATAAACTTCAATGGGAAGTGGCACCTCATAGACTTCAACCGGAAGTGGCCCCCCCATAGTCTTCAATGGGAAGTGGCCCCCCCATAGTCTTCAATGGGAAGTGGCCCCCCCATAGACTTCAATGGGAAGTGCCCCCCCCCATAGACTTCAATGGGAAGTGGCCCCCCCATAGACTTGAATGGGAAGTGGCCCCCCCATAGACTTGAATGGGAAGTGGCCCCCCCATAGACTTGAATGGGAAGTGGCCCCCCCATAGACTTCAATGGGAAGTGGCCCCCCCATAGACTTCAATGGGAAGTGGCCCCCCCATAGACTTCAATGGGAAGTGGCCCCCCCATAGACTTCAATGGGAAGTGGCCCCCCCATAGACTTCAATGGGAAGTGGCCCCCCCATAGACTTCAATGGGAAGTGGCCCCCCCATAGACTTCAATGGGAAGTGGCCCCCCCCATAGACTTCAATGGGAAGTGGCCCCCCCATAGACTTCAATGGGAAGTGGCCCCCCCCATAGACTTCAATGGGAAGTGGCCCCCCCATAGACTTCAATGGGGAAGTGGCCCCCCCATAGACTTCAATGGGAAGTGGCCCCCCCATAGACTTCAATGGGAAGTGGCCCCCCCATAGACTTCAATGGGAAGTGGCCCCCCCATAGACTTCAATGGGAAGTGGCCCCCCCATAGACTTCAATGGGAAGTGGCCCCCCCATAGACTTCGATGGGAAGTGGCCCCCCCATAGACTTCGATGGGAAGTGGCCCCCCCATAGACTTCGATGGGAAGTGGCCCCCCCATAGGCTTCGATGGGAAGTGGCACCCCCATAGGCTTCGATGGGAAGTGCCCCCCCCCATAGACTTCGATGGGAAGTGCCCCCCCCCATAGACTTCGATGGGAAGTGCCCCCCCCCCATAGACTTCGATGGGAAGTGGCCCTCCCCATAGACTTCGATGGGAAGTGGCCCCCCCATAGACTTCGATGGGAAGTGGCCCCCCCATAGACTTCGATGGAAAGTGCCCCCCCCATAGGCTTCGATGGGAAGTGGCACCCCCATAGGCTTCGATGGGAAGTGCCCCCCCCATAGACTTCGATGGGAAGTGGCCCCCCCATAGACTTCGATGGGAAGTGGCCCCCCCATAGACTTCGATGGGAAGTGGCCCCCCCATAGACTTCGATGGGAAGTGGCCCCCCCATAGACTTCGATGGGAAGTGGCCCCCCCATAGACTTCGATGGGAAGTGGCCCCCCCATAGACTTCGATGGGAAGTGGCCCCCCCATAGACTTCGATGGGAAGTGGCCCCCCCATAGACTTCGATGGGAAGTGGCCCCCCATAGACTTCGATGGGAAGTGGCCCCCCATAGACTTCGATGGGAAGTGGCCCCCCATAGACTTCGATGGGAAGTGGCCCCCCATAGACTTCGATGGGAAGTGGCCCCCCATAGACTTCGATGAGAAGTGGCCCCCCATAGACTTCGATGGGAAGTGGCCCCCCATAGACTTCGATGGGAAGTGGCCCCCCATAGACTTCGATGGGAAGTGGCCCCCCATAGACTTGAATGGGAAGTGGCCCCCCCATAGACTTTGATGGGAAGTGGCCCCCCATAGACTTTGATGGGAAGTGGCCCCCCATAGACTTTGATGGGAAGTGGCCCCCCATAGACTTTGATGGGGAAGTGGCCCCCCATAGACTTTGATGGGAAGTGGCCCCCCATAGACTTTGATGGGAAGTGGCCCCCCATAGACTTTGATGGGAAGTGGCCCCCCATAGACTTTGATGGGAAGTGGCCCCCCATAGACTTTGATGGGAAGTGGCCCCCCATAGACTTTGATGGGAAGTGGCCCCCCATAGACTTTGATGGGAAGTGGCCCCCCATAGACTTTGATGGGAAGTGGCCCCCCATAGACTTTGATGGGAAGTGGCCCCCCATAGACTTTGATGGGAAGTGGCCCCCCATAGACTTTGATGGGAAGTGGCCCCCCATAGACTTTGATGGGAAGTGGCCCCCCATAGACTTTGATGGGAAGTGGCCCCCCATAGACTTTGATGGGAAGTGGCCCCCCATAGACTTTGATGGGAAGTGGCCCCCCATAGACTTTGATGGGAAGTGGCCCCCCATAGACTTTGATGGGAAGTGGCCCCCCATAGACTTTGATGGGAAGTGGCCCCCATAGACTTTGATGGGAAGTGGCCCCCCATAGACTTTGATGGGAAGTGGCCCCCCATAGACTTTGATGGGAAGTGGCCCCCCATAGACTTTGATGGGAAGTGGCCCCCCATAGACTTTGATGGGAAGTGGCCCCCCATAGACTTTGATGGGAAGTGGCCCCCCATAGACTTTGATGGGAAGTGGCCCCCCCCATAGACTTTGATGGGAAGTGGCCCCCCCCATAGACTTTGATGGGAAGTGGCCCCCCCCATAGACTTTGATGGGAAGTGGCCCCCCCCATAGACTTGAATGGGAAGTGGCCCCCCCATAGACTTGAATGGGAAGTGGCCCCCCCATAGACTTGAATGGGAAGTGGCCCCCCCATAGACTTGAATGGCGCCTAAAAC